CTGGGCTGGGACCACTGGAAAACACTGGCAGAAGAAATTCATTACAGAGGATTGGAGGATTAGGCAGGATTTTCAAAATAAAACACCCTTTAAAAGGCCAAATACTTTGCCACATGACCCAGAGGGCACAGCCGATTATTAGTGCTCTGGCACAAGTAACTCAGGGCAAAGCCCCTCTCCTGCTCAACCATGCAGTGGGTTCCTGCTGCCCAGCGAGCCCCCCCCCAGAATCACCCAGCAAAAAGCAACCCCCCCCCACCCACAGCAGGCTGCTTGTAAGACCTGGCCCTGAGGCAGGAGGGCAGGGGTTTCCCCAGGGCTGCAGCTGAGACAGCAGCACGGGTGGGAACAGCACTGCTGGGGAGCAGGAGGCTGGGTCACCCCCCAAGGAGGAACCAAACCAGCCAGGACTGAGCTCCAGCAGCCTGCCAAGAGGGAGGAAGCTTGGGAAACAAGCAAAGCTCACCATTTCCTCATCTTCCTTAAAAAAGAAAGTTCAACTCATCATAAATTGATGGGGTTACGAGAGTCATGTGAGCAGCTCGTGAGCGAGGTCACCAGGGACAGTGCAGTGTGACAGCCCCCGAAGCTGGGTCGGTGACACCGGTCCCAGCCGCCCCGGGTGGGAAGGGAGCTGCTTCGCTGCTCCAGCTCCTCAGCCCCCATTCCCCAAAAATCCTCAGCAGGAGAACAGCTACTCCTGGGCAAAAGAGGACACGACACCAGACCCAAGGCAGAGCACCGACTCCAGCATTAGCCTGGTCTCCACAGGAGAGACAGAGCTTTTCCTCAAACAAAGGATGCTGCGCAGTAGCACACAACGCGGCTTTAATCAGGAGAATTCAGCTCTAGAAACCCCACTAGGCAGAAATTCTTAAAAAATAAGAAAGCAAGGTGTGGTTTTATTTCACATTCGCACAAAATCAAGCATCCCTCACTGACAAGCGCCACGCTCCATTTCCTCGCGGCCTTCACCTCTGCTTTGTTTCCGCACTCGCGGCCTCGCACCCAGCGGGCGGCCGGAGCACGGCGTAGGCAGAGAGGAAACCAGGGCAGCGCAGCGACCAGGTTCCAGAAAAACTACAAAAAGGGCAGAAGCAGGATGAATCCTCCAAGGTGCAAGCCCACAGCGAGGACTGCGGCGGGCTGAGCTTTCGCATTTATTTGCTTTCGATGCCATCCGTCGGGAGCAGGCTCCGGGGAGAGGAGCCTCTGAAACACCCAACTCCCACAAAACCACTTTGAATCCACGCTCATTCGCAGCGGGCACAAGCACGAAGCAACACCGAGCTACAAGTTCCCCGGCTTCAAACCCCAGAGACCCTGCAGCTGCCAAACGTGGAGAGAGGAAGGGTCAGAGCCACGTGCGGAGGAGGAGGAGGAAGGTCTAACTCACACGGACCCTTCGTGTGTCCCCAACGCCACCGCGCTTACTGAGGCCGTTCTCGTTACGCCTGCGGTGTTCTGGTCTCAGTTTGCTGTAGGTGGCCTCAGCTGCCAGCAAACAAAATCCGCTCAGGGAGCGCGTTTCCAAGGTTTCCATTCCTTTGCCTCCAAGTTGCAGAGGTGGAAGCCTTATCTGTGCGCTCCTTACAAGAACCATCCCTTTTTATCAAGCCCTGCTTTAAAAAAAGCCAGTGACACACTGCCACTGAACAAGAGTGGAGTAAGTTAATTGCACAGAACTAATCAGTTTACCCTGAAAGGACCCCACACAGTGCTAAGCTTCAAAACAGCTGCGAAAGTCAACTCTAAAGCTTTGGGATCTTCAGACCCCGTTGCAGGAAGCTTGCGAGTCCGGTTTCCCTACCGAAAGCGAGTTCTTCGGAAGCGAAGAGGAAGGCAGGCCCAGCTGGATCCTGCCTCTGGGCAGGGGCCCGTGCACACAAACAACACCCCAAGCAGGTTTCGCGGACAGGCCAGCAACGCAGCCCAGCTGCACGTGGAAGAGCGCGGAAGACCCCCAGAGTTTTCAAATATCTCCCAACAAAGTCACTCGCGATCCCTCTGCTTCCCTTCGAAAGCTCCTGGTCCCTTCTAGAAATCCATCTGCACAACCATCCGCCCACGGAAAGCATCGGCTGCGTCCTCAGGACTTGCTCTGGGCTTCGGCCGCGCCTCGCATCGAGTGGGACGGCAGCGGGTCCCAGGCAGCCGTGGAGTTGGTACTGCAGTCCACGTAGTGGTACGTCTCCAACGCGCTCTGCGTCACGTGGCCGATGTACGAGAGCTTCACCGACGTCCTGGGAGGGGAGGGAGAGCAGTTTCGTGGGGACAGGACCCGTGACAGAAATCCCTCTATCAAAATAAGAAACCCCAGCAGGTTTGCACTCGTCGCAGAACCCCTCCTCCCCCTCGAAAGCTGCAGATCCTCTCAGATTTTTGCTGAGGACCGCTCACTGCAGCGGGCAGGGATCTGCAGAGCTGGCGAGTGCAGCCCTGGAGCACACCACCCCTCACGTGCGAGCTCAGCGTGCAGCAATCTGGTGTCTTCCCCTCTCTATCTTACATTTCACCCAACGGTGTCAGCTGGCCCGGGCTAAAAGCTGACGCAGTGAGCCAGGCTGGGGTGCTCGCCAAGAGGGATTTTCTTCCTGTACCCTACAGCTGCTGTGGCAGCAGCTCCCTTCCAAGTCAGGAGCCGAGCAGAGAACCACCCACCTCATGAAGATCACAATGTTATGGACCTTCACCTTGGGAAACGTGCAGAAGAAACTGGAAGAGACCAAGACAGAGAAGTAGGTCAGCACGGGCCAAGCAGGGCTGCAGAGACACTTGCGTTTCTCGGTATCTCCTGACGATGTTTTCCCTTCAGTGCTAACTCAACTCGAGACGCGGTCCAAAAACCACGTCGCAACAGCCCGACAAAGCGGCCTTTCAAGTTGTTTCTAGCAAACGGTTACTTTCCAGGAAGTTACCAGAAAACAAGTCATTACCAGAGCAAGTTCTAGCTAAAGGAGCTCAAACCTGCCCTCTCCCCAGCTACATACAGAGAGTAGTAAATCCTTACTACACATAGGAGAAAGATCCACCCAGCTCCGCCTTCACGGTGAAATTCACCTGTAGAAGTAAGAGGAAAACACCTTCACATGGAGCCTGAGTACTCACCTAAATCCATCCCTTCCATTTCCTTCCAGCCGCTGCGCATAAAGCACAGGCTACTCCAGCATGAGACTATTTTGCCAAGCAAAGCTTTAAGGTATAGCTAGGCTACCATCAAGTTAACTCGCAGTAGCACACAGGCTTTCTACTCCATTTGGTGACGCTTATACCGCAAGCGCAATGGAAGACAAATACCAGTTTGTCACTCAGCGGCTGGATGCTGGAGACGTTGGTGATCTGCTGGGTTCCCACCACGGTGTTCATGTACTGCACCTGGCTGGTCAGGCTGGTCACCGTCACCGAGTAGAAGTTGGAGTTCCTGATCCGTAAGGTGGCCTGGGCGGAGAGAGGGGAGAGACGTGAGTAGCAGCGGCCTTCCCGGCAGCTCAGCACGGATTTTATTCCCATCAGGAACACGGATGCACAAAAACCTTACCGTGATGGCAAGAACGAC